TGTGTACCATTGATTTATTTGTCTATTCTTTGACCAATACCACACTGACTTGATTATTGTAGCCTTATAGTAAGTCTTGAATTATAGACAAGCAATGAACGATTAGATCTGAAGTGAAAAGCACAATGCCATTTGCATTAGTATACACAAAGAAATACTTCAGTATAAATCAAACAAAATGTGTATAGGATCTATATGAGGAAAACTACATAACTCTGATTCAAGAAATTAAAGAAAATCTAAATGCAGATATTCCATGTATGTTGATAGCAAGTTCTTTCCAACTTGATTTATGTATTTAGCACAATCCAAATCAAAATCCCAGCAAGTTATTTTATGGATATGAGTAAACTGATTTAAAGTTTATAAGGAAAGGCAAAATACCCAGAATAACAACACAGTATTGGAGAATAAAGTGCAAGGATGGACAGTGCATAACTTCCAAGACATACAAAACTGTAGTAAGTGTGTTATTGGCAAAAGGGTACACAAAATATATCAATGTAACAAAAGAGAGATCTCCACAGGGTAGATTCCAATCCATTTCTGCTACTTACTAGCTAAGAAAATTTTAGTCAAATCATTTAAGTTTTCTTCATTTATAAAATGATTAAAGGGTTTGTATGAAGATAAAAAGAAATAATGCATATAAAACATTTAGTAACATTGCCTAAAACATGGTAAGAAATTGATAAATTTTAGCTATTGTACATTTTCTAATTTGATCCTAAACAAGATTTATGAAGTAGCAGATCAAGTTTCAAGGCTATTAATATTTGACAGAGGTCAAGTGGTTAGATAAATAACAGAGCCAGAATTACGACCTAACCTAGAATTACTCAATATTACCTATCTCAGTCTAAGATAACAGAAAAAGAGTATGCCCTCAGGAGAAATTTTACAGATATATGAAAATAAAATTTAAAAATAAATTAGGCAAGAAGCACTTTAATGTACTTTTATCCACAGTGAAAAAAATTATTAACCCAACTTTTAGTTCCTGATATAAACTCATCTTAGTAATGATGTATTGTTCTTTTCACATATTGTTAGATTTTATTTGTTAACATTTTATTAGGATTTTTGTATGTATGTCCTTTGATTTTTCTTTTTCATAATGTTTTTGTCAGGTTTTTGTATTGGGTTTTCCGGCATCCTAGTTGAATTGTGGTATGTTTACTTTTTTCCTGTTCTCTGGAAGAGTTTGTGTGAGATTGTCATTATTTTTCACTTAAATACTTGATACAGTTCTTTAGTGAAGTCATCTAGATCTGGAATCTTTTTTAGTGTGTGTGGAAATATTTTTAATTGTGGATTTAATTTTTTTCAAATAGTTTCAGGACTTTTCAGATATCTTAAATGTAAGTCCATTCAGATAATAGTTATTATTTTATTAACTGAATTTATTATTTGAACTTTGTTTAACAAAGCTACAAAATTTTGAGCATTAGAAACTGAATGTTGATGTCCATCAAGATGGTGGCATAACCAGACATGGCTTGCCACTTCACACAACCACATCAAAATTACAACTAAAATATAGAACAACCATCACTCAGAACCATCAGAAATTGAGTTGAATGGAAGCCTGACAATTAGAGAGTTAAAGAAACCACATCCATCCAGACTGATAGGAGGGGCGCAGACACAGCATGAGCTGGTCCCTCACCCACATATGGTGGATAAAAATTCGGGAGGCATATCTCAGGAACAAGGAGTCCCAGCCCCACACCAAGTCCCCCAGCCCAGGGTTCCAGTGCTAGGAAGATAGGTCCCCACAACATCTGGCGTGAAGGCAAGGAGAGGCCATTGTTTCTTTTCTAAACCCTTCCCCCACAGAGCCAGTAGGCTGGTATCATAACTGAGACTCCCATCAACCTGGCTAACACAGTTTGGCCCACCTTAAAGATCCCCAGAGACTCTGCCCCTCTCAATTTATGGGCCCACCCAAGCTACTTTTCCACATGAATGTCTGGTCTTGGCTCATGCTTCACAGCTTCCTAAATCCTCTCAGAAAAGCAGCAACTGGCCTCAGTGAGCCCCAAGCCTGGTACTAGGAGCAGCCAACCCAGATTCATAGCTTGGCTTCACCTGGGAATCTCCAAGCCCAGCAGAAGTAGTAGCGACCTCTGATTGCTTTATAACTCAGGCAGGTTGGCCCCGGGCAAATCACAGATGGGGGCTGACCCCTATGCCGGAGGACCCAGTGGACAGCTACACACCAAGTCAGAGCACCACCACTCTGCCCCTGTACAACTGATCCTCCACAGAGGTCCAAGGTTGGTGGTAAGTGGTCACAGCCAGTCCTTGCAGCTGACTGGCCTAGGCAAATCCCTCCCATTGATGTGCCAACAGTAACCAAGGCTCAACTACAAGAGGAGGGGGTACTCAGCCCACATGAAGGACGCACCTCCGGTACCCAGCATGGGTGATAGGGGAGGCTCTACCACTGGACCCTACAGGACACCTACCACATTAGGCCACACTACCAAGACACGGAGTCAAAGCAGCTCTACCTAATACATAGAAACAAACACAGGGAGCTGCCAAAATAAGGAGACGAAGAAACATGGCCCAAATGAAAGAACAGATAAAAACTCCAGAAAAACAACTAAAGGAAATGGAGATGAGATAAGCAACCTGTCAGGTGCAGAGTTCAAAACATTAGTTAAAAGGATACTCAAGGAACTTAGTGAGGACCTCAAAAGCATAAAAAAGATCCAGTCAGAAACAAAGGATATGCTAATTGAAATAAAGAACAATATACAGCGAAACAACAGTAGAGTGGATGAAGTCGAGAATCCAATCAATGATTTGGAACATAAGGAAGCAAAAAACAGATAATCAGAACAACAAGAAGAAAAAATAATCCAAAAACATGAGGATAGCATAAGCCAGCCTCTGGGACAACTTCAAGATATCCAACATTCGCATCATAGGGGTGCCAGAAGGAGAAGGGAAAGAGCAAGAAAATTGGAAATCTGTTTGAAAAAGCAGTGAAAGAAAATTTCCTTAATTTGGTGAGTGAAATGGGCATGTAAATGTAAGTCCAGGAATCACAGAGAGTCCCAAAGAAGATGGATTGGCCCACTTCATAATTAAAATGCTGCACAAGCTACACGCCACAGGGCAGAGTGGTGGTGCTCTGACATGGTATGTAGCTGTGCAGCGTAAGGCACATCATAATTAAAATGCTGAAGGTTAAAGATAAACAGAATCTTAAAAGCAGCAAGAGAAAATAAGTTAGTTACCTACAGGGGAATTCCCATAAGACTGTCAGCTGATGTCTCAAAAGAAACTTTGCAGGCTAGAGGGTATTGACAAGAAATACTCAAAGTCATGAAAAGCAGGGACCTACAGTCAAGATTGCTGTACTCAGCAAAGCTATCATTTAGGATTGAAGGGTGCATAAAGAGCTTCCCAGACAAAAAACTAAAGGAGTTCATCATTACCAAACCATTATCGTATGAAATATTAAAGGGACTTCCTTAAGAAAAAGATCAAAGCTATGAACAATAAAATGGCAAAAAAATACAACAGTTGAATCTAAAAATCAGATTAAGCAAACAGGAACAGAGACAGAATCACGGATATGGAGAATGTTTGATGGTTGCTAGATTGGAGGGGTGTGTGGGGGAATGGATGAAGAGGTGAGGGGATTAAAAAATATGAACAGGTAGTTCCAGAATAGCCATGGGGATATAAAGTACAGTATAGGAAATGGAATAGCCAAAGAACTTACATGCATGACCCATGGATATGAACAATGGTGCAGGGATTGCCCAAGGGAGCAGGAGGTGCTGGGTGGAGGGGGACAAAGAGGAAAAAAACCAGGACAACTGTAATAGCATAATCAATAAAATATAATTTAAAAATATTAGATATCACTTAGGTTTCTTTTAAACTATGATAAAATACACAGTGTTAAATTACCATCTTAGCAATTTTTAAGTGTACAGTTGAGTAGTATATAAGTACATTCACATCGTTGGCAGCCAATTTCCAGAACTGCTTTCATCCTGCAAAACTGAAACTATGCCATTAAGCAACAATTCCTCAATTTCCCTTTCCCCCTGGCAACCACCTTTCTACTCTGTGGTATTAATAATAGTAATTATACATACAGTGACTTTCTTACTGCTTAGCATAACATCTACAAGGTTCATGTATGTTGTAGCATGTCAGAATTTCCTTTTTAAAGCTAATATTTCATTGTATGTATATACCACATTTATCTGTTTATCAGTGTACATTGAGGTTGCTTCCACCTTTTGGCTATTGTGACTAATGCTGCTGTGCGCATAGGTGTACAGTTTTCTCGTCAACACCCTGTTTTCAATGTTTTTCGGTAGATACCCAGAAGTAGGATTGCTGGATCATATGGTTATTCTATTTTTAATGTTTTGAGGAACCACTATACTGTTTTCCAAAGTGACTGTACTACTTTACGTTTCTGCCAGCAGAGTACTTTGCATATTTTATATGTTTTTTGTGTTAGTAAGCTGTATTTGTTTTATCAAACCTTCAATTTATTGACAGTGTTTACAATGCCTTCAGGGTCTGGGGTTTGTAGATTTTATTTATCTTTTCAAATAATTGATCTTGCGCTTTGTTGACCCTTATAATTGTATAGTGTTTTTATTTTGTTCATTTGCTCTAATCCTTCTATTCTCCGAGTTTACTTTGCTGTCCCACAATCTTTGGGTCTGATTTGTGTTTGCACATGCTCTCCTGAGTTTGTGTGATTGTTCTCCCTTCTTTCTACCCTTCCAGAACAATTTTTCCGGAACTCATGACTTTGTTTGTTTTTTTGTTTGTATGTTTTAATAAGGAGAATAAATTGGGAGAAAAGTAACAGAGGTGTTAGAAATTGTCAACTTTGAGCACTAGGTTTCATTTAGCCCCATTATCAGCTGTTATTTAAAATTCTAATGTACTGTGATTGACAAGATTATCAGATGTAGTTTATAACATTGTTACTTTTTTTCCCTCCCTCACAGGACCTGTTGGGGCCCAGCCCCTACTCATGGTGCCCAGAAGACCTGGCTATGGCACCATGGGCAAACCCATTAAATTGCTGGCTAACTGTTTTCAAGTTGAAATCCCAAAGATTGATGTCTACCTCTATGAGGTAGATATTAAACCAGACAAGTGTCCTAGGAGAGTAAACAGGTAAGAATCATGAAGTCATGGAGAATATTTTACTGTTGGTATTTGTCTTTACTATAGTAATTGTTTATCTTGTATATCTGAATAACAGTAATAATGTCTAACAGTTTGACCAAGAACACATGGTAATTTGTTTTGAACCTGATTGTACTTTAGAGGTGTGATGATAGGTAAAATCTCCAAACAGTCTTGAAATTTCTCCATTATAACATGAACTCATATGTTCTCTCTGTGATGATAGAAAGGGTCCAAGTCATTTTTAGATGCTTTTGAAATCACTGAGCATCTTTTCCTTTGCTGTTAGGTAAATATCTTTTAACTCCCCACCTGACCTTATTTACTCCTTTTTTTATGTTCCTTTTAAGATGATGGTGGTGGTAGAGGTAGTGGTAGTTGCCATGGTTTCATGCTTTCTATTCTCCTGATCCTCAACTGTTAACTGTGTACTCTTATATAGGAACAAGTGCATAATGGTATGTAAAGGTTTTTCACTCTGCTTTTAGTAAACTACTACTCTCACATTCCCCAAATACTCTATAGGTATGTATGTGTGTGTGGCTGTGGTTTAGGTAATACAGGGAATATGAAAGGAAATTGTAATACCACAAAAGGAGATTTTTTAAAAATGACTATGGAAAAAATATTTAGAAAACAGTGATACTTGGTTTGCAGTATCAAATACCTCAGGCTTTTCTTATTCAATAGATATTACTAAGTGCCTTCATTTAAGACATAGGTGAGTACACCTGAAACTTTTCTAATGTTATAAATCAGTGTTACCTCAGTTTTAAAAAAATATGGATGGTTCTTTCTGTCAAGAAATTTGTAATTTAGGAGAGGAGATAAGACACATAAGATATATGAAGCGAATGAACACTAAGAAACTTAAAAATCATATGAAATATAAAAATCATGATATTATAATTAACATGTATTTATAATTTTAAAAAACCATATGAATATTATAATTAACATGTAATGCCAGATTCTTTCTGAGGTTAGGAAAGGAATTGTGTAGTATTAGATGTGGAAAGAATCTAAGAGGTCAGCTAATATGATACTCTTTTTTTCTAATAGGTGAAATCCAAAAAGGTTAAGAGACATTCAAGAACAGTCATTTCTAATAGCAAAAGTGAGACCAGAACTTCAGAGTCCTGATTTGATAATCATTAAGAAATATTTGTAAAGCAAGAAGAAAAGGAATTGTTAATCTAAAACAATTGGTAGAATTGTGGATAGCTGTAGGAAAAAGACCACTTTTTAATGATAAGGCAACAGTATTAATGGATGAATGGATAAAGAGGAATAGATAGATAAATAGTTGGGCTACAATACAGCATTCTGCTATTATGATTAATGCCATAGTGCAAAATATTTGAGCATGTGGCATATGGACATGCAAATTTATCAGTTGATGGGAATGTGTTGATTTAAATACTGCTGCATTTTGACCCATAAATAAATATATTATGGAATACTACTCAGCCATAAAAAATAATAAAATCTTGTCAGTTGTGACAACTTGAATGGACCTTGAGGAAGTTTTGCTAAATGAATTAAGTCAGACATAAAAAAACAGATACCATATGATTTTACTTACATAGGGAATCTAAAAACAGCGTAAATGAACTTTATACTTTGTTAATGATATGGCTTGATTTTATATCAACATCTGCAAAACTTATTCCCTTTATTTTCTTCAAAAGAATAGATTTTTGTCTTAACTTTTTGCAATATTACTACTAACTAGTCAGTCAGACTAGTTGGTGGGCTTTTGAAATTAGTTACTACACTTCAACAACTGGAATTCTGGAAGTTAGAAGGAATTAAACAGAATTTTACAATTCCTTTTCAATATTAGCTAAACAGTTAAAGGCCAAAATGCAGCATTATTTAAATCAACACATATGAGGTTTCTCTTGTCCATATGCCACATTGCTCAAATATTTGGCAGAATGGCTTTAATCGTAATGGCAGCATAATGATGTATTGTAGCCAAACAAGTTTCCACTTTAGTCAGAGGAGTTTTCTTGGACAAAATATCCAAGAAATGCTTGTGAATCTTTTTGTGAGTCAACTTCTCTACTTTAGACTTTCTGTCCATTGGTTTTCTTTTCCTTTCCTCACCCCTTTGTTGTGGTGTGGTATGTGTATGTGTTTCCTATTTAATGATTTTGATTGAAAATGATCATTTGGTTTAGGAGCATGTTTGTTAAGCAGACTTTAAATGTTTTTGGTTTTTTTTTAAACAAGTGAATGGTCTCAATAACGAAAAACAAAAAATTTTAGAAATATGACCTAGATTGTAAGTTCTATAACTTGAGACTTTGTTAGTTTGTCCAGCTACTAAATACTTGTATATGTGGGGATAAACCCTGAGTAGACTGTTACATACTTATTCAAAATCACTGAATAATGAAATACATGGGAAAAAGTATCTGTAATATGAAAATAACAAACCTATTTTTAGATACATAAAAATATGAAAGAATCTTAAAATAGTTGATAGTAACCATGGTTGATTGGGGGTTTTTTGGTTGAATTTTCTTTTATAATTTAAACATTATAGTTATTTTGCCATTGTAATTATTATTGCTTTTTCTTTTAAGTTTTAAATTGACTTTGAGATTTTAGAGAAAGAGAAGGCAGGGAGAGAGAGAGAGACATCGATCTTTTGTTTCACTGATTTATGCATTCATGGGTTGCTTCTTGTATGTGCAAACCTAGGACTGCACCCACAACCTTGGTGAATCAGGATGACAGTAACCAACTGAGCTACCAGGCCAGAACACTGTTACTATTATTATATTATGATGAATGACGTAGGGCCAAATATTTGTGCATATTGTCTATGGATGTGATGTAATCCTGATGATTGAATTTTAGAAGGAAAAAGTAAATCTATATTGATATCATTTCAGGTTTTAAATGGAAATCTCAAATCAGAGTGTTTGAAGGAATACCTCTTCTGCTGTTACTAGGAATATCATTGGCGTAGGGTTATAATTGGGTAGTATGCCAAGAGAGAGATATACTTTTTTAAAATAACTTCATTGATGTAAAATTCACACACTATACAATTCACTCAGAGGTGAGGTACAACCATCCCCACTGTCTAATTTTAGAACATTTCATCCCCCAAAAAAGAAATCCCATACTCATTAGCAGACACTACCCATTGCCTTTCTCCCCATAGCCCATGCTAAACGCTAATCTACTTTCTGTCTGTAGATTTGTGTTTTCTGGACATTTCATGTAAATGGAATTATACAACATGTGGCTTTTTGTGTGACTTCTTTCAATTCACATGTTTTCAAGATTCATCTGGGTTGTAACTTGTGTTACTACATTTTTTTATTACTAAATAATATTCCACTGTATAGATATTTTATAGATTTATCAGTTGATGAGTATGTGAGTTGTTTGTACTTCTTGGCTCTTAGGAACAGTGCTGCTATGAACATTCATGTGCAGGATTTTGTATGGACATGTGTAATTTTTATGTTTATTCTTTTGAGGAACTGCCCTTCTTTTCCAGAGCGGCTGCCTCATTTTACACTCCTACTAGCAGTGTATGGTAATTCCAGTTTCTCCGCCATACTCACCAAGATTTGTTATGTCTTATTTATGACAGCCATCTTATTGACTATTAAGTAGTATCTCATTGTCATTTTGAGTTTTCATTTCCCTGATGGCTGATGATGTTGAGCATCTTTCTGTGTACCTATTGGCCACTTGTATTTTTGGAGAAATGTCTATTCACATCCTTTGCCTATTTTAAATTTGGATCTTTTGTCTTTCCATTAAGCTGTTGGACTTCTTTATACCTTCTAGTTAAAAGTCTCTTATTTGACCTTTTTATTGATAATGATGATGATCATTGATAATGATTTGCAAATTTTCTTTTCCCCTTTTCACTTTCTTGATGTCTTTTGAAGCACAAACATTTTTAATTTCTATGAATTTCAGTTTTTTCTTTTGCCACTTGCTCTTTTGGTGTGATACCTAAAGAATCATATTTCTGATTAAAATGACTTAGAGAACATACCCTAGAAAACATTGCCAATGGAAAATCAAACAGTAAGGTGTTTAGCTATCTTAGGGAAATTGTATCATACAAAATACGTCAGTTAATAATATGTCAGTTTATTTTCATTGTTTGTTAATCATTTGGAAGAAAAGAAAGCTAACAGGTAGTGATTATTTGAAATCTCAAAATTTTTTTAAAAATTTTTTAAATTTGTATTACGGTTTTTTTCATTACCATTTAGTCCCCTTATACCCTCCCCCACCCCTGCAATCACAACACCTAAATAAATTACTCAGTAGTAATTATAGTCTTTTGGTTAATAGTACAATATATTTGGGATTCAAAGAGACTTTTAGAAATAAATACATGTCTAAACATGAGGAACTAGTGGGTAGGATTTATTCCTAACATATATCTGTTTTGTGTAGATTTAAATTATAATAACAGCTATATAAGTTTCCATTGTATGGATGTGCCTTTATTTGTGTACTTTAGGTCTGCTCCAGTTTTTTTCCTTAGACTAAGTTAAATCCATATAAACCAATTATCTCAATTTACCGTATGGTTGTACCAAAATAGAATGCTGTTGGTACTAGATTGAAAGATACATGGACCCTACCTGGAATTACAATTCCGAATCTTGCTGTAACTTTAAAAACTTAAAAATTATTTTTTGGATAGTACCTGTTTTCATTTAACTATTTATTTGCTCCTGTTTCTTTGTTAGGCACTGTGCTATGTTCTGGAGGTCACAAGGTAACTAAGACATGATCCTTGATAAGGATTTCATAGTATATATGGAGTGACAAGTTCTGTGAGATGTGCATTATGTGCTATGATAAGAGTAACAGTAATTTTATTAACCACTCTTACTCCAATAAATTCAATAAATTTTTTTTTAATTAATGGATTCTGCCTTTGGTTAGGGAGGAAGATGAGGTACATGACATGACATCTGAGCTAAATACTTGTC